ATTGACTTACAAATAAATGGACGACGGGTCTAATACAAAAACCACGAAAAAAATGTCCCAAGTCAACCTATTTAAACGTAGTGACATGTAAAGGAATATGAAAAAGCTAAAACGTTGAATTTAAATTGTAACGTCATCGCAGTACTGTCTAATTCTGCTTGCTTCGCTGTCAGTCGAACAAACGAAGACTAAAGCGTGAATGACGCTCTGTATACGATTTTAACGCCCTATAAATTCGGACACTTTTTAGCGCGGACCCGACGTCCATATAATTGTAAGTCAATGTTGATTCTAATTAATTTATTGCCAATAGATACTATTTGATACAACTATTCTTTTACTTACCAATCGAGTTCAGCGCATTTGTCGATTATAGAAGACAGTGTGTGCAAATTATCCAAGATCAAAGTTGTTAATCGCATCATTATCCTGGTTTCGTGTGCCACTATCTCAGGGTACGTGTCGCCTATCATTACGTCCAGTTCTATGGGTAAATATCACGCCGTTAAAATTCATAAAGGAACATTTATGGGAAGTTGACATGTGCCATTTGATAAAACAATGTTATTTTATCCAAAAATCTTAGATTTTCAATTTCGTCACTTTTGTTATTGAGGTTGCAATATTTAAGGTAGAGACAAATGGGACAAAAATAACCATAAAGACAATATGGAGTTCTCAGATTCCTGCGAATGGTATACAAAGGAAATGAATCTTTTTTCGGATCCAAGTCTCCGCCGCGCAAACGTGGACACTTCAGTGTCTTGCGTTCGATACGTGTAACCTAGTAGTGAATATTCTATTCCATATAATTAATATGAAATCGGTCACTGTATGAAGACCCAGACACTGGTGATATTGAAGCCGTACGTCAGAGAACGTGGCGTGCTCAAGGAGATGACGTGCGTGTAAGATGATGAAGCAAAATAAGTGTTTCTTCATCGACATCGGTCGCGACGAATGAGGGAACATTCGGGAATTTAAGCACCAAAATGCTACCTATGTCTAGAAGTAGTAACCGGTGGCAAATAAATCGCGGAACCAGGGTTGGTTTGATTAAAAACACAAATAAACATAATAAAAAATACTTTCATTTCGATAAAGATAACATCACAATTTTTCTTACCCTCGCATCCTTTACTTTTGTAATGAATATAATCGTTGTTTTGAAACTGAAATAAGAGAAGACATAAAAGCTTATTTTAAATAATCCTGTTACCAAAATGTTAAATGTACCAAGTTATCTTCTTGAAAAACGCTCTGATACCTGCAGTTACAAATTTACTTTGTGAAAATAAATATATTTATACAATCTTATTCTTGTCGCCGACACCCACATCTTTGTATACAATGAACCAAATATCCTCACCATGAACTTCATATCAGGCAGCTCTTTCTGCTCCATTGTCAGATCCTGGGCCCAGGCTTTTACTCCAAGCAAATAACCTAGATGTGGCATGTACAGCATGGTACATTCCTCTATGAAAGTTGGCAGTCTTTGTAGTTCTATCTTGGCAGTTTCAGACATCAGGCCATGCAGGCTTGCCATTGTTTGTTTTTCTAAAAATTGAAGTATTATTTTAATATCTATTTCATTTAAAGGCATTGTCCGCCACCTTGGACCAATTCGCTTTGGGCACTTTTGGACACCATTATATTCCAAAATGCATCTCCATGTAGTATATACCTTTATATGTGAATTGGCACAAATACCTGATACATAGATATCTACACAAATAATATCCATATTTGTTGACACCTTGAAAAAGCCTAATCAGTAACAATGGTTATTGTACATGATATAATGCACGAGTCTCTTCTAATGAGAGGGTTTAAGCATAAACCATTGGCCTAATTCGGGTTTGGGAGTTTACATATTTGCCAAGTATTGTACACCTTCTTCAACATGTATCCCTTCAGCTTTATTCCGTAAGCGGTTCCCACATGTTCGTAATTAACACAGAGAATCAGTCGTCTTTCTTAAGTTTAGTAAGTAAACACATATTAGCTTTTGGAAGGAGCACAAATTCTGAATACTAGAACGTGACGATTCTTACTCATATCAAGCTCTGGGTCGACTCCGGCTTTGACCGTGAATTTGTTCTCAGTTTTGGATTGATCGAAATCAATGATCCTATTCATGTACAACGCCATCTGTTTATTCAAAATTTCTATATTTCAATTTGGCTTCAAATTAACATTATTATCCTAAATATTTTCTTACATACGTTCCAGAACTCTCTCTCTCTCTTTTCCATAATAACTAGTATCCTCTTACTTAACTACTCCTGGCTAAAACCCATTTAATTATAAGCGACGGTAGTACGCATTTGCCTCTATTCCACTAAGTTCAACTATAAGTTCAACCAGTTGAACTAATCGGACACAAATATTCCAATAAGCTCAACTAGGTACAACTTTTCAAAAGGTTGAACTTATTGGACGAAATTCATCCTGTTTGTTCAACTTTCCAATTATTTAAATAATAGTTCAATGTATTGTGACTGATTGTCATGAAGATGCGTTCTTCTTAGCTTTGAATAGGTCCAAAATGAAGTTTTCGGGAAACACAGTTCCATTTTTTGCTGTAGGTGTTAAGAAGGAGGAAAAGGATTTAAGCGAAAGAGAGTAAAGATGGCGTATTCAGCTTCAGTCTACTAGACTTTCTAGTGAGATTTCTGTTTCCTGCCCTTTACTAGTAAGAATTAAGACACATGTTATGCGTGAAATTCTTCCTTTCAACTTTTTTACCTAAAGATGAGATTGAGGCGTTAGTTACACACAATCCTATTGGAAAAATGCTAAATTTATTCACGTTTACAAAAGTATGTCTTGGCAGTGGTACGGAGGTGGAAAAGCTAACCTCGTACAGTTTGTTGTTGTCGCAAGATGCAAGTTGTCCCAAGAACTCGATGTTCTTCGCTACCTCACACATCTCGCAGATCAACACTGCGTTGTACAAAGTCTGAAATTGGATTATGACTTGAAATAGTTATCGAGTTCTTAGGTTTTCGCGATTGTTACACATAGGAAATGAAACTATTTTTCCGGATTTAAATCGCGTATATTTGTTTTTTCAAACAAACCGACGTTTCGGGCCCTTTACAGGTCCCATGGTCACGGTTGAAATAGTTAAGTAAATATACCTTGGAACTTAGAATAATAACGCATAGAATGATAGTTTCATATCAAACGAACTGTCACAAGTGAGGCAAAAATCAAATTCATTTAGGTTAGTTTTAGTAGTAGGTTAATTTTCAGTTTTAGTGAATATTTATATAAAAATACAAGTTGAAACGCGTTGCTTCCTTGTGGAATGTGATGTTAGTATCTATTTTATGTTTGTCTGACGTATTTTTACACTCATTTACCGCACGTTTCGTCATTTTTAGCTAAAATTCTTGATCTGTTCGTGGTGCAAGTTGACCTTGAGCACTGAAGGCCCGCCCGCTCGTGTAGGCCCTTTGGGAGTGCTTCAATTTGCCTGACTTAGCGTGTGCGGGCTAGGTTTCTATGCGTTATTATTCTAAGCCTTGGAATACAAACCTTGCTTCCAGTAGTATGTTTTCACTAATAGGATCTACGACTCGATAATTTAGTCTAGACTCGCTAAACGTCGAACTAAAACAGTGTCAGTACTACTTACATTATAAAGTGACTTCCATTGAAAGGCTTTTGCTGACAACGCTTTGATTTTTGACAGGATACCCTGAAAATGGTTTCGACAGCTCAATTTTTATGACTTGACGCTGTCGAACTATTTGCATGAAAATATTTTTGGTATTTAATGTACTTACGTTGACATTCTTAATGAAACGTAGCGAAGAACAAATATTCCTTAAGATTGAGTCGTTCTGTGGCCTCATGAAGAACGCCACAACGTCTTGACGTTGCTGCAGTGTTGTCATGTCTCTCGTTGGGTGCTGCATTAGCACTCTAAACACATTGTAAAATAAATTGTACTACTTTGTGACTAAAACGTATATGTTCTCGAATATGTGATCGAACAATTCTCTATGCAATGCCGTCAATGACAAATTGACAAGTATCGAGTTCTTAGGTTTTCGCGATTGTTACACATAGGAAATGAAATTACTATTTTTCCGGATTTAAATCGCGTATATTTGTTTTTTCAAACAAACCAACGTTTCGGGCCCTTTACAGGTCCCATGGTCACGGTTGACTGAGGTGGTACAGTCTTCAACCAGTTATGTCTAATATAGATGCAAACCACCCTATTTAAAAAAAAACATAGTAATTATAGTAAAAAAATTTTTTTTTATTTTTTTTTAAATTAATAATAAATTCAACTTAATAATTAATGAATTTTTATTAAGTTCAATTTAATATTAATTTAAAAAAAATTCATTCAAAAAAATAATTTGTAAAACTTAATGTAGCGTAAATTGGAACGTTTTCTTTGTAAAATTAAAAATAAGGTATTTAATTAATAACTATTGTAACTATAGTGAAAAAAATAGGGTGGTTTGCATCAATATTAGACATAACTGGTTGAAGACTGTACCACCTCAGTCAACCGTGACCATGGTACCTGTAAAGGGCCCGAAACGTCGGTTTGTTTGAAAAAAACAAATATACGCGATTTAAATCCGGAAAAATAGTTTCATTTCCTAAATTGACAAATTTTGATTTTATCCTTAAGTCAGCTCACCGCATTCGTCTCTGTCCAACCTTCGACGAGCATTTGCTATAAATGTGGAAAAGACTGAGTCCCTCCTTATTGCTGCCCTGAACACCCTTCTTAAAGCCACTGGGATGCGACACCGAGCTAAAGATCTGTAGACCGCGGTATGTGTCTTCGTCTATTGTCACTATATCGACCCTGAGATGGCAATACAAGATATTTATGGAATGTGGAAGATTAAGTATGGGATACTACATAGTGTTTAAAGTAGCACGAAAGAATTTCTATGTGCGGTATTCATACTAGCACTTTACTCGTTATCTTTGAAGATGGCATCTCAACTGATGAGAAGAACAGGATTGGGACACAAGTATTTTGCTTTTGAATTTCTCTAATTCTTAAGTATTTACAGATGATAAACTTTAAACTTTTATTGAATTGATATTCAATTATTTTTTGTGAAATTACTCCACTAGTTTGTTATAACTATTAATACAAAGATCGAACACTCAGAAAAAATTCCTTCGCTCCGGCCGGATTCGAACCGACGTCTTCTAGCTTACCGTGCCAGATATATACCGTGATAAACTTTATTTCAACAGCGGTTCAAATCATACAGAAGTTCTCAAAGAAAGGGCACTAAGCGTTTATTAGAAAATGGGAATTGAACCGACCTTATTATTATAAACAAAATTATGTAAACAATAATACTCACAAGGAAATCTTCCTTAAGCTCAAAAACTGTGGTTTGCTCTGCATTTCCATATTCAAGTTAGTCCAATTCAGATCAAGGTATTTGAGCAACATTCCAAGAGCGTGTACTGTTTGAGTCTGGTTGAAGTCTATGACGGTTCGGAGAAAAACTATTCGTTCTTCTTCCGTGCAATGGTGAGGCTCGTGTGGGAGAGAGAGGGAGTATATGCGACGTTTGCACGCTTCGAAACCTTATTAGGAGAAGTATCACATTCAATAGACAATAATAGGAATACAATGGATGATAATGCTGACGTTATTTATGGAACAAGATCGAAATAAGAAGATAAATCCGAATATAGACATAAATACATTTATTATCTAATAATTACCAAGAATGACTAAGTGTAAGAGGTAACGTTGCTTGGTAAGAGCATTAGCTAAGGGTAAATGAGTACAGGCATGCAACAAATACTGCAATGCTCTATGTTTTCTGTTCAATATCAGTCTATATAGTTGAAGTTGAAGTAGGACTGGGTTGGTCACGGCCGCATGCCGAGTGACTTATGGTGTAAGACAATTACGGAGTGAAAGCCACTGAACTGAAGACCTTGTCCAAGGGCCGGACAGATGCAGCCCAAACCTGGGACCAATGGAAAAAGACGGGAGGCCCCTTTGCCCAGCATTGGGATACAACAGGCTTATTACAATAACATCTACCACTAGCCTGGAGAATAAATTTCTTAGATAAACTATAGAGCATCATGTTATACGGATCCTGCGCCGATTAGTAAGTATGTAGTTTTATAAGTAATTTCAAATATGGAAGACCTTACTATTACGTATATTAAGAGTTTAATAACACGTACTGTATTCCTTGGAAGACAAAAAGATGAGCCTGCATCGTCCCTCGGTATCGTTGCCGGTTTCAAATACTGTCTTCCTTGTAACACTTGCGAAGGTACCTTGCTTGCCTTCCAGAAGTATCTTCGCTGGAGATACTTGCCGGAACAGAGTGAGGAACATTTGGAATTCAGGAGGACGGTCTACGATTTCGTCTAGGAGAAATAGCTGTTGTATAATTTAGTAGTGTTTTTTTGTTTAGCATTTGCATTTTGGACGCGGATTTAATTTATGTTAAATTCCTTTAGTGAACACTTTTAATTCAATTTTAATTCAAAGATAGTACTAAAATCTGAAAGACTGGCAAAGTTTCCATTCCTATAAAGTTGTTTAAACTGAGTCTGAACGGAAACTGTTCAACTACCAAGGAACTATTTTAAAGAATCCTTTAATTTATGTTAACCTACTCTACATGCGTCAAGAGCATATCAAGCTTGACGCGTTGGATTTTGGATCGTTCTTATCGTAAGCGGCATAGAGTTCAATTTATCGTAGAGTGAACATTATTATAAATTAAAATCTTGGTATGACAGTGGCGTGCGTAGGGACGATTATTTAGGGAATTTTCGTCTAATCAAGAACATACTGGATAAGCTGCTGCTGTGTATGATGGGCCGAATAAACAAAATCAAGATGAGAAAGGGGGTAGTTGGAATTAATAATAATTACTTCATTTATTTAGGAATAGATACCTAATATTTTGTGTTTGCTTATTTAGGTTCGTGCTCACATGGCCCTACGGTTATTAGAACTTGTATTTTTGTGTGTTTTATTGATTGATTGACTAACCTAATATTCTAGAATGTTATAGAATAAATATAATAAGTGTACACACCTCCCCCGTTTGTAGAGTATAAACAGCAGCACCTAATTTGCCGGAACGTGAACTCACTGCCAGAATTTTCTAAAAAACAATTTAAAAAGCTTCGTCTGTTATTCAAATTTCCATTTAATAATTACTTTCTGAAGTTAGCAACGACTCTTTCGTTTTCATTTGCTTTAGAGAAAAAGCAGTTTCGATTTGCTATGTTTTTTAATTACTTTAACTGGTATGGTTCTGATTGGTCGTATTTATTCACGACTATTTTAATACTTGCAGCTACAGTCAACAAGAAAAGGCATTATTTATAGAAATAATTACGAAATTGCACAGATTCGTTATTTGGAGAGGTTAAACTAATAGAGTTCTTCCATTTTGTGGTCTGTATGGATCTAATCCGTATGAAACTACCTACTAAATGTAGTAAATTAAATTTCAATGTTGGATAACATGTTATTTAAATTGTGTCATTCTAATTTAATAATAATTAATAGATGGAGTCATAAAATAATAAGAGAGAGCGCACACCCAAGTAGTTATGCCGTTTAAGTCTTATGCATGTAATCAGCAAATGTTAGTAATCTATTAGAGTTTCTGCAGTTTTGTTGTGCATTTAAAAATTCTTTACGCTGCCAGTTTTTATTTACAACAGAAATTTAAGTTCGTATAAAGACTGGAACTTCTTAAGCTCAAAATGCAAGAGCTGCCTACTGTTAACTGTCGCTTTAGCAGGTCAAGGCCCTTTTCAATTAATGTATATCACAATAATTATATCCTAATTACATTGGTGCAGCGTGGCTAAATACAGGGCGAGATACCTTGAAGAGCCAAGGTTGTTCCCCGAAATCTTCAGCAAACTCAGGAGGATGCAGTTTTTTGGAGGACCTCAGGTGGTACGAATGAAAATAGATGCCTACATGTCTAGTTGCCTATACCAGCCCGTCACAACCATACCATAACAACGAATGTAAATTTACGAGACTTTACTATAAATATTTTTTATCTAATTATGAAGTTTTTACTTTCATTTGTTGAAAAGTAGATTGTTTTATTAAGATTAGATCCGTGCTGATCAAGAAATGGAAATAGGTACTCTACTAAAGTATTTTCACCTCTAAAAATAATAAAAATGTGCAATTTACAATTATATAAATAATGCATTGTCTTCTTGACTGTATTTGCAATGAATTAAATTAGTCGTGAATAAGTGTCACCAATTAAATAATAAAAAAAAATACAATAACATGGCAAATCGAAACATCTTATTTTCCGTCATGTAAATCGAAACTGTTGTAAGCGTTATTCACTCGTTGTTAATATATTGTAGCCTCTAATTAATTGGTTTTCTGTGGTCTAAAAGTTTGCTGGATGAGGTCCACGGTAGGACCAATCTGGGAAACCAATTTTTCTAAATTAGTTCTAGTCAGGGTGTTCTGAGTTGTGGCCCAAAATTTAATTCTGTTACTATGAAGAAGAATGAAAAATAGTTTATTTGGTAATCTTATGACAAAATATATATAACAGGATGATAATAAAAAATAATCTTAGGACAAAACACAAAATAAAAGAGTTATATTTTAGAGTCGATACCACCTCAAATGCTTTTAAAAAAAATATATAGTAAAATTGAGGATATACTCTGATAAGTACCAGGTGTATAAACACGATTCCTCAAAATTTTCACGGTAGAAAAAAAGAACACAAATTACCTCGAAATTTCACTAGAAAGCCGTTTTATTCAATATGCACTTTTACAAATAACAATGTTTTTTTTTACATATCAACTGAACTAAATAGAACATGTGTAGTATACATTTACATTACACATGTTTGAAATGGTTTTAATTTCGTTTGTAATAAATTGAATTCGAGCTGAGGTACTATCGACTCTAAAAATGTTACTAAAATGATCTCCACTCAGCTTTTTGTAAGATGTGTGAAAACATCTTCTTACGCTTTGAGTGAAGCCGAGTACTCTGTTTACGGCTCTGGTACAGTCGGTGCCCTCACTTAGGTATCCACTATTTGTGTAGCACTTAGTACAAATAGTGGAGACCTAAGTTGAGGACACCGACCCTACATATACAAGGAATTCCGTAATTTGAGATTAAGTAATTGGGGTGTGATTGTCTGGAATATCATTATTATTATTAATTATTCGGCAGTAGATGCATGGCAACCTTCCATGTTTACGGGTAGTTATTAAATTAGTTAAATTGTGTTTTACACCAGTTAGCCTAATAAAATTCCATTATGATAATGGACTTAAGAGCCGAGGGACTTACCCTTCACGCTATGAGGGGCCTACTTTATAAAATTACGTGTTTCATTTATTATAGGTGGAATAAAAATGGGCGGACATATTGCCGTTAACACCGTCCGTCTCTTGATTTAAACATTCACGATTTTAATACATTTGACTTGTCGGGTATTAATCGTGTATATTATATATATATTTTAACTTACTTCGATGTTTTGTTTATTTATTTATTTATTTATACATTTTAGGAAAATTCACGGACAAATAATACAATTATAGTAAATTTAAATATGAGTAATCCAATGCCATTTACGAATTTCCACCTACATGAAACAATATACAGTGCTTAGCAAGCCAAAAAGAGATTACAGGAAAATACAAAGAACGCAGTCAATAAATTTAAAAAAAAAAAAACAAAATAAAAATTACTATTCTAATATACAATTAAACCTTAGAGGATGGTAAAAGAAAAAGAGTCTAAGAATTAAACGAACATACCATACCATTTGGACGTTTTGCGACGTCCACGGTCTCGAAGGGACTCTTAGAAATAAAATATAATTTCAACACGGTTAAACACCATAAACTGCACTAGTTAGTAACTTGTTTAAAAACTTTTATTTAACCGTTTCACTTCAAGAGTAAGGATTTATTTATGATACCAAGAGACGGGACGAACAAGTCGTCCGCCTGGTGTTAAGCGACATGCCTATCCATAACAGTTGCAGTGCAATAGCAACTATCCGAGGTTCACTGCCACTTCAAACGTCGCCCTAAGGCACAAAGTTGACAAGTTCCAAGTGCCTGTAGTTTGACCCCTAGAAGTAGTAGAGCTCCTTGCGAAAGGGTTCAATTTCTGCCGCCAAGCGGTATCGTGAGCATTACTGCGTTCCGGTCTTGAAAGGTAAGACTGCTGGTGAAATTATCCACAATTATTATCAAATTGTTATTTGTGTGTATTATTGTAATTGTTATGTTTTTTCCCTTTTCTATTTCGTATAATTATGTTTCATAATTGTTAAATGTATGTGTGTTGTGTTGTTTCTTTACGGAATAAATATTTCTTTCTTTCAAATGGCATGCACATGAGAGTTGTCAACTTATGTCTCAGGGTGACAGGCGGAGTAGCAGTGCCACTCCGGCCTTTGGAATCTAAAGCTCTGAGTGGCACTGCTACCGTTATGGACAGGCGTGTAGCTGTAACTGGATTGATTGATCGGGCACACATTATTAAATTGCTTTGCAGATTTGTGTGCATTGTGTTTTCTCACCATGTTTTCATTCCTCGAAAAGCTCACCGTGAATTTTAAATTAAATTCGCACATGAAAAACTCAGAGGTGCAAGCTCGGATTCGAATCCACCCCTTCTGCTTGTGAGGCGGTAGGACATACTAGAAGGTCAATACGGCTTTTCAGGAAAGAGGTTTAAAGACTCCACGATCGAAATTACGCGTCGAAGTTAAACTATGAAGTTTTTATGTTAATTAAACGATGAAGTTTTTATGTTTAAACAGGAGAGTATATAAAAATGCTGAAGTCCAAGTTTTAAATTTACGCAACCCGGAACAACAATTCGGATTTATTCGAATTTATTTATTAATTTATTATTTAGTATTTCATTGGTGTCAGTTCTTTGTCATTGATGAAATTTGCTGTAAGTGAAAGAATGAAAAGACATTACACATAGAAACGTTATAAGTCGTACCTCTTCTACATCAAAATCCTCGCTAGTTTCCTGGTTTTCATTTGAGTTCGATGTTACTGCAGCATCTCTATTCCTACAAAAAAAAAGACTTGTGTCCGAAATTTTCAATGACGTATTTCTTAGAAAAAAAATTTATCCGTACAAAATAGTTATTTTTGATACAAGTGCGGAAAGTTAGTCATTATTCACGAGTCTCGAGCCAGAGGCGAGGGTCTAGACGCGAGACAAGTGAAAATGCAAATCCGCGCGTGTATCAAACGACGTTTTTTAATACATTTGCGAAAAAACTACATTGAAAGTAAAATAAAACATTATTTAAAAAAAACTCATTTTCTGCTAGTAAATTAAAATAATGAAATAGAACCACTGCAACCATTATTTAAAAGTCTATGGAAATCTAGTTCTAACGTGCTGTTTTTGTTTATTTTCTGTAATATCGGTCTGTAACCACTTTTCTTATTATGAAGTCCTGGTACTTTTGTTTAAACTTCTTTAGGAATCCGTGCACGGTAGTGAGATACAGTTTATCTGTAATACATAGAACAAATAAATATATACATAAAAATCTCGCCTGTCACCCATTCAGGGGTAGGCAGAGACTGTGGACCTCCACTCGATACGTTCATTATATAGTATTTGTAAATAAATATAAGTTTTAATGACGAATGACTTACGTCACAAAGCACATAAATATGAAATAAATATACAATTTCTTTAGTTCTATGTTTAAGACTTAAAACAACAGTAAATTAAAAAAAAACTGGAAAAGTAAAAAGCACTAGTGCGAGAAATCCAACTTTCCGCACGATTTGTAGTGCGAAAAATACCACGTTTTGAGGAACTGTATTAAAAATATTTTTTTCATTCATTGGTTGTATTTGGAATGTGAGAAACTTTATTGTGTATATAATTCCGAGCTTAATAGAAAATCATAATGATTCAGCTTTGCGCGCTTGATTCGCACCAAAAACCATCTTTTCTCACGAATAGTTCTTTTTGAGATAGGCTACTATACTACTATTCTTATAAAACCACATTACGTATGTTGTACAAACCTGCGGCATTTTGCAATGACGAAATGGTTCTGAGTTCTTGTGCTATCGGATTCGCGAGCTCTTGTTGTAGCTTGTATTACACTTCTAGAAGGATCATCCGGTGTGCTTTCATCCATTTTAAACAGTTTTTCAATATTTTTAGCGTCTTTTTATGATGATTATTACCGAATATTTAGTAGAAAAACAACAAAATGTCTTCCCACGCCGATGAACTTTTTTCATTGTGTTTTTTAATTGCCGCCAAAAATTTACAAAAGTACCAGATATTCGCTCACATCTTTAACACGTTACTCGCAAATAAAACAGAAATTGTTGCAAAATATTTTTTAATTTCAGATTCATTATTCAATTAAAAAGGATATAATAATAATGTTCTTTTTTCAAAATTGGCCTAAAACAGCGTTAGTTGTTAGTAATATTTGCTTGAAGTGCCTACTTGTTCGGTTATAGGATTTATTTATTCTTTTCCAATAGGTTTTTTATTTGTAAGTCAATGGTTTTAAGTGTAAAAAGAAATTTGGGTGGTGCAAGCGAGCAAACATACGAGAAAACGACTGTAATGGGGTTACGAGTAAAAAACAAATACGTATAATATTTTATCCAAAATAATAATTAGGTAAAATATTCAGTGATACGAAACAAAAACTTAGCGTGTTCGGTAACCATTCGGCCTAGTCTAGTGTAAACGGTGTTCATAGTTTGCAATGGGCCTGAATGGGGTTGAAATGGGGCCAGTTTACCCGTAATAAAGGTTAATGGGTAATATAAATTCACTATTAATTACTTATTGGTCTTTATTGAATGATGACTGTTTTCTTAAAATGGAAAATAGAAAATCCGCCTTACAAATTACTAACTGTACCTCATTCTAACTTAAAATATTTTTAACAGACTTTTGTTTATAATAAAATTAGTATGTTTTTAACATTATTAGTGATTCGAAAATAAATAAATTACACATATACGTATTGATTAATTGATCTAAATTATGTAATTTTAATTTTACGTTAAGTATAAAATAATTATGATACTTAATACTTTAAAGTACTTAATTCATCATATATCTAAAATATTTAAAAACTTATCTTTTAAGTATTTTATAGGGTGTTAACAGTGGTGGGACTAAAAAAAACATTCCGTTTATTTATGTATGAGAAGCCAGATTTTTCTTTTTGCTAATTCTTAATAAAAAAATTCCTATAAAATAATATTATCTTGGGCCAATCGGGAGCGAAATTTGGCCCGACTCATGTGTAACACCCTGTGAAAATTAGTTTATCAACATTTAGTGCAATAATTAAATAGTTAGTGAATTAATACTTTTACAAACAACATTTAATAAGTTTAAAGGCACTTTACGGTGATATATAACTTTACTTGCTATTATTTTAAATGTTTATGAAGTTCATTCAGTTATATTTATACGATTGTTCAATTTATTTCACTTTTTATCACTTCATTTGTTAATGTTCATTTCACTGGTTTATTTAAAATGACAAACACACATGTCACTAGCTGTTTTGAAGAATATTATGCGCGCGAAAACGCTTTTCGCATTAAAAAAAAACATTTAAAGGCACACTACACGACGAGTAAATCCTTTTCTTCCGGCGCGTCCTTTCGATAGTTAACGCGGATGTGGCGGCAGATGTGGCCAAGGGCCTCTGCAGCGGGCACGACTGTGGCCGCCATGCACGACTGCACCATCGTTCGAAGAGACGCGAAGTAAATCTTCACACATCGCAGACAGGGCCCAGTACACCAAATTTGCTGTGTGGAAAAACATATTTATATTAGGCGTATAAGGTAAGACGGTAAGATTTGTAATGGGGGAAACGGACGTTTGATTCTGCAGATTTTCCCTTTGATTCTGCACGTAGAGTCAATTCGCAATGTATTTTCTTTTGACAGATTCTTCAGTACCAGTAGAGCTCCTCGTCCAGGGAAGTACTGCCTACCTATTTCTGTCACCAAGCAGTAATATAAGCATTACTGCGTTCCAGTTTGGAAGGATAAGGGTGCTGCTGACATTAGAAGCACATGGAACTTGTCAACTTATGTCTCAGGGTGACGGGCGCAGTGCTCCTCAGATCTTTGCTCTGAAGCTCACTCAGAAGCTTTGAGTGGCACTGCAACTGTTATGAACAGGCGTGTCGCTTACCACCAGGTGCACGACTAGTTCGACCTATCTCTTGGTGTTACAAAAAAAAGGAATTGTCAATCTTGGTCAATAAAAATTCGACAGCATTCTAGTCTAAGGTTGATAATGCAACGCCCGTTTTCTCGTGACGTCACGGAGTTCAAGTTTGCGTAGTGTTCTTGCAGTTGTGAAGGAATGACCAGTTTGTGATGAGCTGAGGCCCGGGTGGACACGCGGTCTCTTTTTTTTCGACAATCCTTTTTTTTAAGATTAATGGCTTTGCCTCTTTTTTTGTTAAGAGTTTTGGTTTAGATAAAAGTCCTTTGAGCCATGTTTTCATTTAATTATCGGGGTCCTCAATAAATATTTTCCATTGTGGTTCTAATACATTACGTTTTCACTTTCTCTTAAATAACTTAGTTCTCTTGTTTCAGTTTTCTAAATAGTCTTTAAGCGGCGGGAGTCAATACTTATGTGTTCACTTTCACTTAAATCACATTATTGTCACTTTAAACAAAAACTTTGAATTCCTAGTAGAATTTTCAGGATAGTCTAATGTAATTTGGTTTAAAACAAGGAATATGGTACTAACTTTCTTCATCTCTATTTCTTTCTTCATATTTTTGTCATAATATACTTATAATAAAAATAATATTTGTAGAGACTGTAGTTGTAACTTCAAAAGCCCGTCATGTTGTGGGTAGCTATTATCGGCATACACATTAAAGCTTGATATTGTTATTTTCGATAAATAAGGTCATTTTACGCTATTAGTTATAATTTTACGTATTAACTGTAAAAGATGTGATTACCAACCTCAAAAGCGAGACAGGCGAATCCGCATCCCAAGATGAGTGCGCAAGGTGGCGCGATTATAACGGCAAGCACTGTGTAGCACCAGTTACGCGCATACGCGAAGCACGTGTTGCTCAGCCGCCATGAGCACTCCGGACTGCGCGCGCCCTCTGGCTCGCCGATTATGTCATCCCATACTATCTGTAGGCGACAAAAAGCAAGGTTAAAAAATGGCGGAAAGATATAAACGGCTACATGGTTAACTATTTATTAAGGTAATTATTTGCAATTAATATGTCACACGTGTTATGGTCATATCTGGAAAAGTGACAACGTTTGAGGACATGACAACGTTTGGGTTTAAAAATTCTACAAATTAAATTAGAAGATAACTTTCCACCGACTTCAAAAAAGGAGGAGGTTCTCAATTCGACTGTATGTTCTTTTTTTTTCTTTTTTTTTTGTATGTATGTTACGCGATAACTCCGGTATTTGTGAACCGATTTTCATGATTCTTTTTTTGTTGGACAGGGGGTACTTCCATAGTGGTCCCATTTCATTTTGAAGAAAACCATCCACCTCGAAGGGTGGCTGTTCACGCATGAAGATTCATTTTTATAAATAGCGCCTAACTTTAATTTAGGAGCAACTACTTTAATGGTTGATTTTGCTATTTCTCCAATTCAAGGCGTTTTTCTCTCAATATACTTTGAGTAGTGACGTAGTGAGAACCTATTTTTATAATCTCCAGTGTCAAGCCCTGTATAGTGGCGAATTAGGGGATATTTCAATAAAACATAGCAAATAGACGTAATTCCACGTATTTTGAGGTCGGTTTTTTTAGTACTCTGGACTGAGATTATGCGTAATTTGTTTCATGTACTTCGTTGTGTTAGAAACACTTTTTAGTTATAGTCACATGTGCCTTTTTATAATACGAAGTGGGCGAATTAATTTGTTTAAATCATATTTCTAGTCAAACATTTTTATTGTTTTTTTTTTGTCAAAAAGATGTTGTTGCGTTACATTAAACATGTCGCATAGAGAAAGCCTGGAAGAGCTACTGGTCCTTGAAGAGTAATCTCTCTATGTCATTTAAACACCAACTCATCGATAAGTGCATCCTGCCCATGTTAACCAACGGTGCATAGACATGGTCGCTGACTGATTCCCAGAAATCTAAACTCCAGATCTGCCAGAGAGCAATAGAACGCAGCATTCTGGACTTCAAATGTATTGAGCGAGTACGCAATACAATGCTGCGTTCGATGATTGGCATTGCTGATGTGGGGAGCAAAACAGCCAGGCTCAAGTGGGATAGGGCGGACCACGTTAGCCGGAAGCAACATGTGAAGTGAGCGAACGTCGTCACTCCTTGGGTGTCCGAGGATGGAAAGAGACGGCTAGGACGGCCGAGAAGGCGTTGGCGGGACGACCTTGATGGGTTTGAGAGAGAGTGGTGGGAGATTGCCAAAGACAGGGAGCAATGGAGGATTTTGGGGGAGACCTTTGCCCAGCCCTGGGACATAATGAGTTAATTAAAAAAAATTAAACATGGCAACATTCTTTTTCAAAGTGACACATTCTATTTGTACAATGTAATAATAGGTGAATTCTCTGAAGTGAGTGTGTATAGTTCTGTACGCAGAACTATAATGAGTGATTAAAGGACGACGATTATAGAAATAGAAATAGAAACCATTTATTGTAACGCCACATTATAAAAAAAAAACACAAAAACAAAGACTAATATAACTAAAACAGAAATAACACAAAGAACAGCGTAAAAACATTTCAACAACAAGCTGCATAATACTATACTGACATGTGTGCGGCTGTGGCGTGTACAAAAGGATCCCATTCAGCTAAAGTCACAACCAAGGCTAGGTTGTGACGCTGGTTTTCAATGGGCGCTAGCCGAGTGAGTGAGAGTGACGGACGTATGCGTCCCGGAACATATAATAATAAAATAAAATAAACTACGTAAATACTTATATCATGAGTGTGTATAGTGTTATTACAGTGTGTACTCTTATATCGAATAAATACTTACATAATCTTTGCAATATATACATACAGGTATAAGTGTGTGTAGTGCGAAAACAAATTAATAAAATATTTTAAAAAGTTCTTTGACTTCAACATTAAACCTCTTGTTCTTACGCAGTTACTATTTCGAATAATGCTATGTGAATTAACATGTTTAAATGTTTATGATTATTAAGTTAAATAAAAATATACAATCAAAATAACGTATCCGATTAGCACCTCAAGTTTTTTTTTTACTTTAATAAATGACAACTGCGATGATTTTGCTAAAGACTCGATACAAAGTCAAATGGCTTTGATTGATTCCGCAAAACAGTGGAAGTGTTGAATTAATCACTTTGAAAAAATACATAGTAAAATTGAGGATATATCTACACTGAGTATACGGTACGGAAACACGATTCTTAAAAATTTTCACTATGGAAAAAAACTTACCTCCTAATTTTACAAGAAAACCGTTGTATTCAATAGCCAATTTACATACCAATGATTATTTTAATATCAATTGAACTAAATAGAACACGTACCACTATACGATATACAATTTTCAGATGGTTTTAATTTAGTTTATAAAAACATAAATTCTGAAATAAAGTTATTGTCTCTGGCGCTCGAACCAAGCTAAACTGAAAATTAACGACCTCGGTGTTCCAATGGTTTGCACTGTGGATGCTGGATGAGTAAATCCCGGGTTCGATTTCCGGTAGGTAAGTTGGTTACGAAGGAGTTTCTTCTAAGTGTTCGATCTTTGCATTAATAATTATAACGAACAAGTGGAGTAAATTTTACAAAAAATAATTGAATGTCATATTATCAATTCAATACAAATTTAACTAAATAACAGATTGTGAAATTTTTCAAAATTTAACCTTAGCTATTCTTACAAATACATTACAAATGAAATAAGAAAACAAAATGCTTCTTGTAGTTAATGAAAAAATCAAAGTAATAGATTAAAAGCCTAAGACCGCATACCTCGTATTTTAACCAATAATTTTCATTTATAAGGATTTATGACGCGGTTGCAAGACTTTTAGGCTAATATAACCAATCAGAATAGCGTTTGTGTAGCATCATAAATGATATTTTAATTATGTTCCACTACAGCAGTACTATAATATTTGAGCTCAGTGGCGGGTACATAGACATTAGAATTTTGATTCAGAATTAAAAAGAGCGTCTATAAGAAGTTTGAAATTATAATTGACAGATTACTGGAGTAGAAAAAAAATTCATTATTAAAGTCATTTATTCGAAATATTACAGATAATAAACGTAGAAAGATATTACTTTCCGTAAAAGTAATAGTAACAGCATAGTAGTAAACAAAATGTTGGCACCATTATTATACATATCTAATGTGAAATCACTGTTATTATAGTACTACAAACTATTATTATATATCCATCATCGCATGTCACGTCGCGCCTTGAGCGAGGCCCGAAGAAAGCTCAATGTCAAAAAGTAAAATTCGTCAATATTTTCCAATCGATGTCATTTCAATTTCGGCCAATGTCAGACTACATATTTATGGTATTGATGACGCGTGCTTTTCTATGAACAAGTCCGTATTAACGCTATTGGTGATAACGTAGTTAACAATTAATAACTAACAGTTTGTGGCAGTAAATATAACATGTGATTCTTTAGAAGAAAGTAGGTGCGTCGATTATAGATTTTTTCTAAAGAAATAAGAAATTAAATGTAGAGTCTAATCTAAGGAGATGTCTTGTTTATCAACAAACAAGTTTTAAATAATATAACACAGTGGCCTAAAAAGTTGAAATAAAATAAAGAAAATAATTTGTACATAGATATCGTTTTATAAAAACAACTTTAGGGGGGTAATTTAAGCCTAAATTACAATTTATGTATAGAACATTGACTATAGAATCGCTTTTTAAAGTAACAAATGATTAAAAAGCTCTAAACGCAATATACATTTAAAGTAAAAATTAATTCGTGTAAAAACTGTAATTCTACAAAAACTTGCCCTTTTTTCCTTTTTGTTTCGAAAAACTTCAAGGCAATCACTGTAGGAACTAAATTGTGGTCACGGATTGTGGCCGAGATTACGTTTATTTTTCATAAGAAAAAAAACGTTATTACTAAATTTTCTCTTCCTATCCTTGTTGCTTTAGCTCATTTGAAAAGTAGTTCACGTTAACCCGAAATATTCCTCAGCTTTACTTTAGTAAATAAAAAATAAAAATATTGTCGATGCCTTAAACGTTGTAATGAAATGTAAGTGTTTTAAAAAAATGGAGGGTTTTAGTAGATATATTTTTTACACGAAGTAATTTTTAGTTTATTTATTTGTATTACGTTGTACGTTTCTTGATTATTTGTTACCATTAAGCTGATGGCTCTGTAGCCAATGCTTTAAAAATAAATAAATAATTATAATGAAATGAGAAAAAAAATGGCGGGTTTTTGTACTTACAGTTTCTACACAAATTAATTTTAACTTTAAGTATTATTACGTTTTGAGTTTCATATTATTATTATTATTATTATTATCATCATTATTATTTTAAGTTATTTCTCCTTTCAATGACATTTTATTATAAGATAAGATTTTTCCCAAACATAAATGTTTATCGGGAGAGTTTGGCTGCTACGCTTAATATTATAATCACATAAATATTACATTCAGTGACCAACATTACAGTTAGCTGTTTATACTGATGGCAGTATAGCCAATCAATAAATAATTATAATGAAATCCTTAGAGCAAATAGGAAACTCATTAAAATAATGTTTTCGAGATCATTATAGCAGTACGATTGTTGGTAGTCATAAAAACATGAAATTGCGTTTTACTTTTCAAAATAATGTGTAATTAAGAGCTACACTACAGTAATTCTAGGTGTTGTAGAGAGTGGTGGAGGTGTCAGTGACTATGGTCACGCGATATTCAAAGAGTTTATTTTTCACATTTTCCCTTTGTTTTATTTCATTGCATGAACGGTTGCTTCAGACGAATACATTGGGAACTGAAATTGCATGTTAGTAAGTCTTTAATAAATATTTATGTAGCGCTTTAGATGCTGCGGAACGTAATAAATACAAGTAGGTAAAGCGCTTTTTGTGGTACCCAGGCCGGTAGACATTTAGACGGCCCATTTGAAGTAAGGTTATCCCTGCCTACG